GAGGCGATGAATGTGGAAGATGTGGAGGATGAGTACAAGCGTCGCCTGGAGAACATTGCGATCAATGAGTGCTGCTGTCTGGTCTATACCTCCGGCACGGTGGGCATGCCCAAGGGCGTGATGCTCTCCCACGATAATATTTCGTACGATACGCGCGGCATTGGCAAGGGCCTGGAGAAAATCGTCCCGGGTGCGGAGTGTATGGTCTCCTATTTACCGTTGTCCCATGTGGCGGCGCAGGTTGTCGATATTTATACGATCGCCTCGATAGGCGGTTGCATTTGGTTTGCCGACAAGGATGCGCTGAAGGGAACGCTGGTCAAGACGCTGCAGGATGCGCGTCCCACACGCTTTATGGGCGTGCCGCGTGTCTATGAGAAGTTCCAGGAGCGCATGGTTGCGGTCGCCAGCTCCAGCGGCAGCTTTAAGCGAATGCTCGCCGGCTGGGCCAAGGACGTTTCGCTAAAACATTATATGGAGAATCAGGGGTAAGTTACACCAATTTGCCAGCTCACGGCCAACTCTCAACCTGTGCACCGTGTGCGCATAAATTATGCAAAATGAATGCACAGTTAAAGTGGCTGCTGCCTAGACTCGACTCGACTCGACGCGACTTGAGGCGACTCTAGCTGCTGGCAATCCCTGTCAGGCATTCGACTCGGTTCGTTTGTTAAATTATGCAAGCAGCCAGCGTCGGTCTGCAGGCAACGGCCAAAATCACAGCAAACACAGCATTACTCATACGCCACGCTGTACACGAAGCAAATGAAGTTGCTGCCGCTGCTGCTCCTGCTGCCGCTGCTGCTCCTGCTGCTGCTGCTGCTGCTCCTGCTCCTGCTCCTGCAGGAAACTCGCCTCCTGCATGCGTGCACGTCCTTTGTCTGTGAAATAACGTGACATGCTCTGACTTTTCCAGCGATTAGCAGCTTTAAAACATGCTTGCCTGGTCGGCGCAGACAATTTTAGCTTGGCTTTTATTTTGCTTTCAAATGAGAAAGAAATTTTGAAGTTTCTTTTGAAAACTCTGCACTTGTTCAATTTGACATATAAATTTCTGTGCATATGGATTATCTATCAATAACTGTTCTACAAATATTCATACCTCACCTAGAAAGAATTTCCTCTTCTGTCTTATACTAAGAGTTTGCCATTGACCTAAATACTAGAAATATCTCTCCAAATCATATTCCATCTTTTAAAGATTAAAATCTTAACTGCTTCAACAGCTTTCCATCTATTAAAAATGCATCATATTCCATCAGCAATCGCTCCTCATCGCCTCTACTTCATGCCAAGAGGAACTTCTTTAGGACTTGCTCTTTTTGTGACTTGCCAATTAAGTTGGCCTGTCGCCAAGTGCATTAGCTGCTGCTGCTGCTGCCGCTGCCGCTGCAGTAACCCATTAGCTTTCCACACACCCATGCACACTGACAAAGTTTCTCCTTTGCGACAACATCACGCCCACTCCCAGCATAATCCTTGACCCATGTAATTATCCCAACTTGGCCAACTCATCAGAAATTCCAATTAAAAAACTTTTATCAACAATTTGTGTGACTTGCAGCAAGAGCAGCGGAAGCTTCCGGTACAAGATTGCCAGGTCACTCATCCTGTCCAAGGTGAAGGCTGCCCTGGGCTTCGATCGTGCAATCAGCCTGGTGACCGCTGCGGCGCCCATGTCCCCAGAGACCAAGAAATACTTCCTCAGTCTGGACATGAAGATATTGGATGCCTTCGGCATGTCCGAAACGGGCGGCTGTCACACCCTCTGCCTGCCGGACTCGACGCTCCTGAACTCGATTGGCAAATCGTTGCCGGGCTGCGAATCGAAGATCATCAATCAGGATGAGAATGGCCATGGTGAGCTGTGCATACGCGGACGTCATGTGTTCATGGGCTACATTTTCAACAAGGAGAAGACGGAGGAGTCTCTGGACGACGATTGCTGGCTGCACACGGGCGACTTGGGCTTCATCGACGATAAGGGCTATGTGATGCTGACGGGACGCTCCAAGGAGCTGATCATCACAGCCGGCGGCGAGAATATCCCACCCGTGCACATTGAGAACATCATCAAGAAGGAACTGGATGGCATCTCCAATGCCTTCCTGGTGGGTGAGCAGCGCAAATACTTAACTGTGCTGGTTTCCATTAAGGTGAGTACGCAGATAAACTCCATCCATCTACAGATCTAAATCCGTATTCCTCCTCTTTCTGACAGACCGAGGTGGAACGCGAGACTGGCGCACCCACGGATGATCTGACGCACGAATCGATTGTCTGGATGAAATCGCTGGGCGTTGAATACACGAAACTCAGTGAGATTTTGGCAGCCGGTCCTTGCCCCAAAGTCCTAAAGTCCATCGAGGATGGCATCAAGCGCGCCAACAAACAGTCCATCTCGAACGCCCAGAAGGTGCAGAAATTCGCCATATTGCCGCACGATTTCTCGATAGCCACCGGCGAGCTGGGACCCACTCTGAAGGTCAAGCGCAATGTGGTCAACAAAATGTACGCGGATCTCATCGAGACCCTATATGCCTAAGAAACGATTCCACGTTTGGCTGTGACACCAAATACAAACAAAAATTCAAAATTAAAAGAAGAAAATCTAAAGAAAAGAAAAGGAAATGAAATTGTTTATCAAACTATGAGAGCTATGCAATTCGAGCTTTAAAACACGCACATTACATATGAAATGAATTTAAACGGACTTACAAGCCATTGCCAGAGCTTAACATTAACTATTTGTACTATATACATATATACACATATATATCTCTATATATATGGAGAAATTTTTGTAAATACAAAATTCTAACCCACCCGCCACTCAATTAATATGAGTGCAATGTTGATAATGATGTTAACAATGTTGATAATGATGATGATGATTGATGATGATGATAGTGATGATAATGATAATAACGATTGATGTTACTGATGAACGACTATATTTTTTCCATCAAAATTATATTGATATTTAGCGTATAAGTTTTTGAAATTGTATGTTAATTTGTTTTATTTACTGAAACACACGAGCGCTAAGGAAATTATACGATCCTATTGTTTGAATTACAATAATAAAAAAAAAATTATATTATATAAATAAATAATTGCATATCTCAGTTATTTGTTGGATTACAAATGAAAAATTTGAAATCAAGCTTGAGAATTTCTGGTCCTAAGATTCTTACTTCAAATTTTCACCAGCCCATCCATTTCCTCCTTGATAAGTTGATTGAATTGCTATTATCTCACCATAGGTTAGAATACATTGTAAACAAATTGTATATATTATATTTTAAAGGGCCTCAGGCTGACTTTAGTTTCTCATTTCTTCCCAGACGTGATTACTATAGGAAAAATACTACAAGACTGATAATTCTGGAGAGAAATAACTTTGCAGCACTTATCAGCGCTCTAGCCGTCACTCTCTCTCCCACGCTCTCGCTATCCCTCCCTCTTTCTTTCTAGTTTATTTTCAACAGATACCCCTCAGCCTTCACTCACACAAGAATTTCCTCACATTTCTCTCTTCAACTCCCATTTTATTTTGATATAGATTTACACATTAGTACTTATAGGACTAGGTCTTGGGGCTAGGTCAATCTTTGCTCTCCTCCAGTGGCTCCTCAGTGGTTGGCTCTCCCTCGTCTCGCTCCAGGCCCTTGGCCAGTCGCTCGGCCACTCGCTGCATCAGCTCCTCCATGCTCATTTCGATCTTGATGCAGGCGCGTCGCTGCAGATCGTAGCGCTGGTCGTGACCGCACTGGATGCGCTCACAGCTGAGGGTCATGCTGAACCAGCTGCTGACGTCCTTGAAGCCGGGCCGGCACTCGCACTCGTTGTGGCCAATGCAATGGCTGTGCTCCGGACAGCCGCCCTGGCAGATCGGCCGGCAGATCAGCTGATGCTGTTTGTTGGGATGATGCGAGGGCTCGTAGCCGCGCATGCAATGACACTTATTCGGCTCCACACAGTAGCTGTGGGCGGGGCACGCCTCCGTGCAGATCGGCTCACAGAAGCCAAAGATAATGGTGCGATATCCCGGACAACACATGCGCACCGTATCCCAGCGTACACGCTCCTCGTACACAATATACTGTTCGCTGGCATTGTTCACGAGCCGTGTTCTGGTCAATGGCACCTGGTACTTGACACTAATGTTCTTCTGGCAGTGGCCGCTCGTGATGGCCAGCGCCTGGCTCTGGCCGAGGAGAAGCAACAGCACCAACGGCAACATTCTCCCAGATAGCTCCAAGCTTCCAGTTCTGTTCACGGCTCGCAATGCACTAAGTGCCAATGACTCTAGCTGAGCAAGGGAAAGTCGAGCTCTTTGTGCGACCACGATAACTCTGAATCTCACTCTGACTCTCACTTTGACTCCCACTCTGGCTCTGACTCTGGTTGTTTTGCATGACCTTATCACCGGAATGGAAAATGGAAATATGTCTGGCATGTCGGGTATATATATATATATATATATACAGTACATGCATATGCTCGATAAGGAGAGTCAGACTTGATCTTCTCAATGGGCGATACGTTTATCGCTGGGGCTAATAATCATAACAATATCCGTTATCCAATAAAGTCGCATGATTAATGCCGGACTCTACGCTTACATGAAAGTAAAATGATTATATTTTCTTCTTTAAATCATCCAGAAAAAGAATTGCAATCAAAAACATCGGGAACTATATGTAATATATGTATACATATGTATGTAATGGGATCATTCAACAAATTGGGAACCTAAAAAATTCATAAAAAAAACTTAGAAAAATATCTAGCTTGGTGTAAAACAAGTTAAGTCCCATAGAAGACTATGAAGTAGCTTGCTTGCTTATGTTTAACATGACAAATCCATATAGCAACACTTATCAATGTAAGACCCTTTAGCTCCATGAAATGTATTTTCCATATACTTTCTAGGTATATATAGAAATCCGCATAAACCACAATGACTAAATTGCGCAATCTTAAGTAAATGCAAAACCGAGCAAGAATCATATAAATGAGTCTAAAGCATCTAAAGTAGCTCAGTTGAGTGAGAAACGCAGAACTGGAAAGTTGAGAAACAACGCTAAAAAATGGATACCTTTTGGAGACTACTGTACCTGGGACTATTGGGGTGCGTCCACTTCAGTCGGGCTGCATCAGTGGACAGCAATGATGTAAGTGTAGCTACAAATATATCCACAGGAAAAAAACACAAGAAAAGAACTTAAGTCAATCATTTGAAAACCATTTGAAAGGAATTCACATTAAAATAAATTATTATTAATTTAACTGTCAATATTTTCTAAAATATTTAGTGCTCCTTTTGTTTATTAAATATTTAATTCTTCTTTCTTTTAAGATAAATATTGTTATTAATTTAGATATCGATATGGAGTCTTTTAGTCCCAGCATTTTTTTTTCCAAAATAAAGTTCATATATTTTTCGTTGACAAATTAATTTTTTATTTAGGATTACTTGATACAACAATATTAACATTTGATATACCTAATTTTCTTTATTTATTTAATTTACTTTATTTGTTATTTTATTAATTCACAGATCTTTGAAATCAGCGAATATTGTCAGCTGGACGAGCAGTGGCATGCCGAGCTAAATAAATGTTGTCCCCAATGTTATCCGAATTGTGTTAACGTATCGGACAATAGCTGTAGGTGCAGGCATGGCTACCATCTGGCGAATGGCATTTGCGAGAAGAATTGTTCGCGTGAGTGTCCCAAGTTCAGTGATTGTGTTGAGAAGAATACATGCGTTTGCAGGCCGGGCTACACGTGGGGTCTAGCTGGCATGAAGTGCCGTCCACTGTGTAGGCCCCCTTGTGGTCCACACGCCACTTGCACTGCGCCCAACATCTGTTCCTGTCACGCGGCCTACACCCCAGTGAATGGCATGTGCCAGCCAGTGTGTACACACGAATGTGGAAATCATGGCAAATGTGTGGCGCCTGAAGAGTGTAAATGCGATAAGGGCTACGAATATGATGCGAAGAAGATGATCTGTAAGCCGAAATGTAATCCTCAGTGTGGTCCACACTCCGAGTGTGTC